CATGTTTTTGAGTAAAACAACAGGTTATTTTTGACTTCGTTCTCACCTTCATATCTAGCCCTAGGTCAATTAGATTAGTTTTGATAGGAAATTAAAATGATTTATTGCCTACGAAACAATGTCAGATTAGCATGACTTTGTCTTACAGTCCGTTGTTGCTTCACATTGAACGATTACCTTAAAATGCCCTGTGCTGACAGTCATGACCTGATTTTGACCTGCCGTAGGTCGGCGGCCTTACAACGTACATCTCATCTTTTACAAAACAAAATATTTGCTATTAAAATCTCCATAGCTTTGCAAGGTTTGTGCGTTGCTGCACCACGCCGTTCGGAAACCATTCTGGAAAAATATTCGGGGGGGGGGGGGCAATTTGACCCGCACCATAGCGCGTGTTAACCTGCCGGTCGGTCGTTCGGAGTCCCTTCACACACACACACACACACACACACCACAACACACACACACACACACACACACACACACACACACACACACACACACACACACACACACACACACACACACACACACACACACACACACACACACACACACACACACACACACACACACACACACACACACACACACACACACACACACACACACACACACACACACACACACACACACACACACACACATACTTGTGTGCCGTGCTTTACGGGACACCTGACTCAGCCGTCACTACCGAGAACCACCCGAACGAATGGCGGCATCGCAGCCAAATTGGAAGGCCATGCAGCCATTTGGCTGTTTAAGAACAGGATGGGTCGTTCGAGGGGTAAAGCTGCCATCTTTAGCTTACACTGGCAATTGAAAATACCGAGGACATAGTGATAACAGAGGACCGTGTGTGACTTTTCTGTCATATTCAGCTGTGTATTGAGGACCGGGAGTTGCACTTGGAAATTAAGGACAAAGGGACAAAGGCTCTCAGGTCGGGGGCCTCGAACATCATTCAGAAGGACTCCTTGGGGGTTGCTGGGAAACTGAGGGCCCCTTTACCGGTGAGGGACGATGTCGAACAGTCTGTTTTGGATATTTGTCGACAAATGTACCGCTTGAAACCAACATGTTAATTAATCAGCGAGGCAACGACCATCTCATAAACCAGTGTCGCGGCCACCTTTGAAAGACGACGGCGACAAACCAAACACGGCCAGATATCAATATGCTACCTTGTGCACAAGCGCGCAGCCAGAGCCTTGGCAATGGGCCAGGGGCACGCACAAGGTTGATAAAGGGCTCCCCAATAGTGAAAGCCCCCCCCCCCCCCCATACAAAAATATCGCTGGCATTGGAGTGCCCCATTGTGCCGGCCGGGGCTCTGAATAGTCTTCCAGCCGACCTTTCTGGCCTTTGGGCCCTCAAATCAGGCCCTTAATCGTAAATCCCGAGGCCCTTCGGGTCCCCTGAAACCTTAGGCAGGGGGAACGTGCCCCCTGTGGCCTTCCCTCCCTGCGCTCCTGCTTGCGCGTCAGGCTGTTGGTTTGCGTTCAGATATAGGCAAATAACGGCGGATCGTAGGCTTTCTGCTGCTTAAATCATTCATCTATAATATAACAATCGTTTTACTCTATTTTATCATGGTGCACTTTCCTGTCGTCCCGTTGAAGTCTAAATCAAGGTCGGATAAATAGCAGCATACGCCATGTTAATACCTGCTGAACACTCTTCATGAAAAAGCCCTCCCCAGGCCGGTTGATATCACCAACGAATTTTGGCTCCATCGACCTCCATACGACATTGGCTCCATGTTGTGGAATCGCCTCGGACCGAATAACAAATGACTGCAGTTCATTAAACTACCCGATGAGTGTTTGCCCCGACGGCTGGACACCCGGGACACTAAATGTTTTCCGTCCCCAACGGCCCGATTAGAGTAGGAGAAAGGGCAACCAACGCCTTTTGGGTTTCCATGACCCTTTAGCACTAATAGTGCTAACAGTGCTAAAGCATCATCAATGACCCGGTCGGCGGCACACTACTCGACGGCGGTTTTCCCGAAGCTTCTGCTGTTGCAACGGTTGCAGCAGAGGGCGGCCGGGGCTGAGGAGCGGGCAACGGAGGCGACGCTCCAGACAGCGGTGGAAAAATTGACTCGAGGTGCTGCTGGAACTGTTTATCTGCTGACCGAGCTACTGCAGTTTCAGGTGCTTCGGCGGGCAGCCGCCGTTCATCTCATTCGCAGGTGACTCCGACAGTCTCTTCTACACTGTCGGTGTTCCAGTCAGTATACAAAGCCCCATGTTGCTCGACCCTGCTCGCGAACCCCGGTGTCTTAGGGCGACAGCACACAGCCTCTGATGCTGTGGATGTGACTGGCGGCGCGAGTGCGCGGCGGCCTCCATTGGTGGGGTGCACAGTTTGTGGCCCGTTTTTGGGATACGGCTTGTGCCGGCGTCAATGCAGCGGTCTACTTAATGATGGCCTCTTATGCGACTGAGTGTGGGTGAATGGTTCGCTGTTGGTGTAACTGTGAGTCACGTGCTCATGCTACCTGTTAAATGTGCCTTTCCCACGGCTTGCGTATGTGTTGGGTTTTTATATACGTGTCAATTACGCATATGCACTTTCTTCATACAAGTGGAATCCATGGTGCGGCGGGATGTAGCAATCAGCTGCTGACCGAGGAAGGAGGACCGTGCAACACTAAAATCAATGAGTCAGTCGTTACAGTCATTGCAGTCAGTCACTGAAGCCAAACGAGCTGCCTCATAAACATGTCGGCTGTTTGGCTGATGCGAGATTTCGTGCTCGACGCCCACGCGCCCATTCCAGTCTTCAAAAACTAGTCAAAGGCCCCTGTGGCCCACCACTTCCCAATGTAACAAGTGTGCTTTGGTTAAGTGTAGTGGTGTCAGATTTGCCAACGGATCTCAAAAATGACGTAGAGAAAGAAGCATTTGCATTGAATCCTGTATTGGAAAGATGCGACAGGAGAATGACACACCTAATTTGCTTCCAAACTGACATTCAGGTATAACGCGTTTTTACCAATGGGGTGGGTCTATTTCCGTGCTTAGGTGTCATCTTCCGCCCAGAATTGCAAATCTCGCCACACTGCCCTTGGTGAGCACTGCTTTTTCACCGTTCATCAGCTCCACCTACACAGATTGCTACTATAAACGGGAGCAACAACAAGGAGATCGTTTTTGTCGTTGCGAAATTTACTAGCGAGCATCATCCAAACGTGAACGAAGTCGACATCTAATGTGTAAGTCACTGAGACTCATTTCGCCTTACGACGTGCTCTAACAATCACGTTATGGACATGGATTTAACATCTCTCCATGAGCGCTAGGACAGAGCATTTTCTGCTGACAGGGCACGTAAGCATGCAGCTTGGCCAGAAACCTCCATGTGGCTAACAAACATGCCAAGCTGCCTCATCACAGCTGCCTTTTCCGCATTGCACCAGGCAATACGTCTTTTTTGCCAGTGGTGTTTTTTTCCTGAGCGTCATTGTTAGTCTCTCGATGTGAAGATGTCTCCTACGAAAACAAGTCTCCCTTCCCCTCTTGGCTTTTTGTCCAGGTAGGACATTTGCGACCTCCACCACACAATCGTCTTCACCCATGTCCTCCGGACCGTCCTCTTCTGCCATTGGTGCGCTGTTGAGGTAGTCGACTTCGTCCAGATTTTTCCCTTTGCAGACAGAGATGCCATTTTTGGTTTATTGGTTTTATACAACACGCATCACATCGCAGCCTACTCCTGTACATTTTGCTTCGATCCTGAGCATAAAGCACAGCGACTTTAAAACATGGAAAAAGGAAAACAAAATAACTGACCCAAAACGGAACGCCAACTGTATTCTCGCTCCGTTGTTTCGTAATCTACGAACTACACACTGCACAACTACATCTTTAGAATACCGCTCCGTATTTAAGATCATCTAGAAAATGCATACAGTTTGGCTCCAATGGTAATTTGCAGGCCGTCCAATGCTTGAAAGCGGAACTTCAAATACTCGCATCCTTAACGAGTGTCGCTCTCGGGGAGTAATCTGGAAAGCCGAAAACGGGTGAGATATGAGAAATTTCAGTTCAGAACAGGATTGTGACCCCCACGTGAAAGAAAGTTATGCTTGTGTTCAGAAGCGTGGGCATGCACCACGCTGATGGCTCACGGGTGGTGGAATTAAAATAGCTGTGCAATAGTCGTGTCCCGAAAGATAGCTTTCCAGTTCACAGCAAATCCGTGAACGAATATCGGAGGCCACATGCCTCCCGTCCGCGTACATATTACCCATCTTGTTAGAGCACATGCACTGCCGTCAAGAAGAAGGAAGTGATGGGGCGGCGATGGGGGCGGAGAGAGGGGGACAACAATAAATCGTACTAAGCTCTAGCCACGCAGCCGAACTTAACCTGAAATTAGGCCAACAACAGCAGAGTCGCCAACATTCATCGTCAACGCGATCAGCAGCTACCGTGATTCGGACGGCCCTCATGCATGGTACGCGCGCCCGTTGGCAAACTATGGCGTGCCTGTCTTCATTCCTGTAGCCACGCACGCACAGCTGCGATGGGAATCGATTTAGAGAAGAGCAACAGTTCCAGTATCATCGCTGACCGCATGCGGCAATTGCGAGTCCATGCCCTGATGTCCTAGGCTTACTACGCCCTGTCAATGCCATGCTGTTCATGCACGCCATACGGTTAACAGTCGTAAGACAGCGAGGCATAACCGAAACGAGTTGTGGTAAAAAGCTTATTGCCTCTAAGCTCAAACAATGCATCAATAAGAAATGACGAAACTACGACAGACAGGCGGCGGTGGCCCACAGACCGTCATCCCAGCCCCCGGGCGAGTACGCCCCCCTAGCCCAAGTGTAGTGTCTACTGGCTGGTTGGTAAGAGTGGACAGTTTTCTGATCACTGCCATATCGCGGGTAGTGCAGGATGAAGGTAGTGTGCGCCATGATGCAAACATTATGATATATTTGATTTATGATTTTGGATCGAGTGCGTATTGTGAGTGTGATTGCACGCTATATGTGAATGCATCAACAAAAATTACAAAAAGGCCAGACAACCAAACCGCTGACCTGACCATCGCATTTGAAACTATCCGACGTCACACCGTGATGCTGGCCGCGAAACAGATGGGAGGCAGCCCCAATGCACACCAACGCCGTAACTGTTTTTGACAACGTGACACGCTGGAAGACCGACACCCCTCCTTGCTGCGGATGGGCTTCTCCACGCCATTGCGAGACACTCGTCTGTCTAGCCCCCGCAGACGAGGTCTCTTCGCAGGCATTTTGGTCTGCCCGGAGTGCGCAGACCAGAACCATGCTTAGTGTCCCCTCGATGGGCTTTTGGCAACACCGTTATGGCCCGGAGCCGGATGTGGCAGCCAAACCCGCTACCACAAGCTATGTTCAGTGAGCGGCCGGACCCCACGCTCATGAAAGCGTCGGTGATTTCCGCGCAAACAAACCGGCGTTGGTGATGTATATTATATATATATATATATATATATATATATATATATATACACATATGTATGTATATATATATATATATATGTATATATGTATACATACCTATATATGTGTATATATAGATATAGATATAGATATAGATATAGATATAGATATAGATATAGATATAGATATAGATATAGATATAGATATATATATATATATATATATATATATATATATATATATATATATATATATATATATATATATATATATATATATATATATATATATCATTGATCCCGTCGTAAAATGCGTAAAACAACATATAGTAATGATCCAAGGCTTGGTTCAATCGTCCCATTCATAGGAAATAATTAAAGAAACTATGTTGCAGCAAACATCCTAAGCCATACACATTTCACATACAATGAAAAGACCGAGACTGCCAGTGACTAAAAAATTTTTAAAGCAACTTCTGCACCCCACCTGTTCGAATTTGGCAGGGAAACTGCTTGCGAGGCCTATTTCCACCATCGCCAATGCTTCTCATTTTTCTTCGGGTAGCCGTGCCCGTGGTAAATATTCTCGAGGACCCATGAGCTCGAACTCTTGACCCGAACGCCCCAAAACCTGTCCTTCCCGAAGAATATCATGCTCCATATTGCAAATAGCATATGAAAATGCTATTGCGCGTAAGTCCTTAAGCATCCCAAATATAGCCTGAGTTACCTTTGTTGCAGTAAACTTTCCGGAGGACTTCTTTTAGAGGACTAAACTTCTTTAACTCTCCCAATGGTATACATATAAGCCACCTGAGAACAAAAATGTTTTTGCACGTTTCATTCAAGAATGACGCCATACACCGGTGGTGCCACAGAGAAGGAGCACTAAATGTTGACAAGACCATTCAATAACGCGGATGCGGGTGTACCTACATAATTGCAGGCCGCGATATGTTAGTGGTGTTGGTGCAGGTGGTGGTGGCGTTGGTTGCAGAATAAAGTGGGGCTGGTACAGTCGACACGTGCTTGCGTAGACCAGCGATGAGGATGGTGGAATGAGATAGCAAAATGGCGTTACACTGAGGTCACGCACCATGCAGGAACTGTTATGGTCACACAATGGTAGGGGGGGGAGGCAGACATTGGGGGTGTTGGCAGGATCAGACACTGGTGAAACTGGCAGGGCAATGGGGTCAGCTGCATGGAGCCGACACTCGCATGGAGCTGGAGGGGTCAGACACCATGGTGGGATGGGTAGACCCAGACATTGTGGTGGGGTGCATGGTGTCATGCACTGTAATGACATCCTACTGGTTAAGGCACTGATAGGGATGGTGGAGCCAGGCAGTGTAGTGGCATATTTGTGGGGGTCGGACGATGCAGTGGTGTTGGCAGTGTTGGACAATGTGATGGGGTAGATAGAGAAAGAAAAGCATGCATGAAATGCTAGATTAGAGCTGATGACAACAAATTCTACATGTCACAAATGATTCACACCCTCTTCAGAGTAGTCATTTCCTAAATAATTTGACTTTCCTGACATCAACTGACCTGAATCAAGCCGGTCGCACTAAGGCTTTCAGGTCTTCAATCGCTTCAATGTCCAGTGGCTATAACATCACCTGAAACAGCAACAATGCTAAAAATTATTCAGTGGGTGGAGATTAACTAAGGACTAAGTAAGTATTTTTTTTTGTTTTTAGCGCCCCGGAGGTGTTCATTGTATCTTAAACGTGAGGGACGTATGGACTTCCCGACATAGACTCAAACAAAACAGGGAATACCCCTTTCGGTGACCATTTTTTGGCAAAACATGCTCAGGCTGAAATCGAGGGAGGTATGGACCCTATGCCCCTTTTAGAGCCCAAAGTCGTCTACAGAGCAGAGGGCCACCCAGGTAGGGAAAAATTTAATCTATTCTTACAAAAAATCAGCGACCAAATTTTAACATACAAAGCTCATCCTGGCCGATTTTGCGAACATGATATGTGCCTTTATATGCGATGTGTGCTAGCTTAAAATAGTTAACATGTGAAGTGACGCCTGACGCGTGACATGCGATGTCTGTTCAGTTGAAATCGCTTGCATGTATAATTGATGCGCGACTGTGATACCTGTTAACCTCAACTCGTTTGTATGTTTGAACGAAGCGTAATGCATGACGCCTACTTGCTTGAATTAGTTTGCATGTACACGTATTGTCGCCTATTTTAATTATTAGATAAGCACCGTATCGTGGTAACGGCTAGCAATAACTTTTTGTTTAATCCTCTAAGAGTTGGTGTCCTGTAAAAACTGGCTTTCTATTTCCAAAAAAGCTGAAAAATCGGGTAGGGCCACCAGCAGGCAATTTTGAATTTATTTCTGCTACTTTTTCGATATAGGCATGTTGCCGAAATATCAATTCAACTATATCTTTATTCTCCCTGTTTTTCTTCGACGAATAAGGCTATTAATATTGTCTTAGCTATGTGAAAAATGCTCCTCTGCTAATGCTAATGCACTGAACAACTTACGTAATCTTGCACAACATTGATTTGAGCCAACCGACGGCCGTTACGTCTGAAAATGTATTCACAAAGCCGGATATGAACGACGCAACGGTCATATGATGGCTTGCCTTAATCGCCCAATGGCCAATGAAATGGCAGCATTTGAAGACCACGACGAAATAATATTCGCACCTTTGCAGGTGTGTAGATCAGAAACTAGAAAGGTTTACAAAATTAGAAGGGTGCTTAAGAATGGCAGGACTGTGTAACATACTGAATGATCTTCAAGATGGCTAATTTCAATTGAAACCCATACAAATGTGGCACACACCCTTTTATGCTCTGGTATCTACCACACACTAAGGTTCCGATGTATGGAAAACCTTATGTTTGTAATGATTTCCCCTTCAAGGCTAAATTGGTGCCCAAAGCCTCTAAAAACGTGTTGTTCTAGGGGGTTGGGGAACATGTCTGTAAGTACCTAACGGCAACATTTTTTAAATGTAATACAACACTCACTGCAAATGCATGAGAAAAACTGCAAGCATCCCCCTTACAAACGTCTGGTCTAGCGTGATAAACCTACCCAGACAATTGCATAATATTGCTGAAGTCAATCTCTTCAACCACCTTCAAAAGCTAACACAATGTTTGCCACTTCAGCAACTATCCTTATCAGCACACCATTCTCTAATCAATCAAAGCAGATCAGTCCTCCATTAGCTACAGTTGTCGGTAAACAGGGTTCACCAATCCCTTTCGAATATTTACTACTCACTTTTTAAAACCTTGCCGGACGACAATAACTTGCATCCAACGTAAGCCCAGTCTTCTCGTCCGAGATGCCGCACACCGCAACGTCACCGCCGCGCTCGTTCCAAGAACGCGCAATGGCGACGATAGAGCTACGTATCCCATGTGACTTAACACAATTTACATTAATATCTTTCATCACCAGTTTCAACGTGATTCAATGTGATTTAAATGCTTATACCAAACGCAAACAACTTACAAGTGATGAGACCACATCATGGAGCAGCGTGATTTTGCATTTCCTTATTCATCTCTATTCTCTTCCACGTGACCTTGCCACCTGAAAAACTTACACACGCGCGCAGTTCGTCCAAGATAACACACTTTACACAACCGGAAGTAAAAATGCGTATAATTGCGTTTTTCGAGGACCAGCTGAAAATCGAATAAACATGTTCAAACAAGACTAAATATCTCATTTAAGGCCTCTGAAAACCGAGGTCCGGCATTTGGACCTCGGTAGTGAATACCGGACCTCGGCAGTGACGGGTTGTTGGGTGTGTAACCGGATTTGGTCCTCTGTTTTCACGGCACACAAGAGCACACACACACACACACACACACACACACACACACACACACACACACACACACACACACACACACACACACACACACACACACACACACACACACACACACACACACACACACACACACACACACACACACACACACACACACACACACACACACACACACACACACACACACACACACACACACACACACACACACACACACACACACACACACACACACACACACACACACACACACACACACACACACACACACACACACACACACGCACACACACGCACGGAATGAATTTATATATATATATATATATATATATATATATATATATATATATATATATATATATATATGTGTGTGTGTGTGTGTGTGTGTGTGTGTGTGTGTGTGTGTGCGTGTGTGTGTAAATAAGAACATGTACATATTCAAATATTATTCATTTATTACTACATATTACCCATTCACACGTTATTCTCATATTCTTCACATATCATTCATTACACATATGTGTGTGTAAACACGAACATGTACACATTCGCACTCCTACGCACTAATAACAATCTTACAAGCACGCACACAATCGCACGCGCTCACTTGCACGCACATTCAAATATGCGAATAATTGCTGTTGTCAGACCGTTTCAAACACAAGAAATGAGAATGTTGACTGAGTGTTGTAAGTTGTTCTGGGAACAAATACTTGAACGCAAGCAGGACAACGGTGGCTTTCTTGAAGCGCTGAGTGTTAACGATTATCAAGGTAACGACCCAAATTCGTTCCTGGTACTAGTGAATAAGCCAAGGAACGGAACTTATATTGCTGGACACCTTTTAACTAAAATTGCTTGTGACATAGCCCTAATGACACCGGTTAACAAGGGCTCGCACTAGTTGCTACACTCCCTCCCCAAAAGACACATTTCTAAGTTTACTATTTCTTTGTTCCATTCTCCACACAGGTGCCCAGCCTCGTGATATGGTCGTCAATGCTTCCGGAATCAGCCAACTTCCAGCAGAACGTGTGCCTGCGGCTGGGTAAGGTTCACCCTAAAATTTTCGTAGCCGTCCGTAGAGAGTGTTACGACCAGACGCACGTCGGAGAGACGCTGCGGGCGTACTACTCCAACCACATGATCAACGTCCTGTGCCAGGACACGCCGGCGCTGGAGGCGACGAATAGCTGCTGCCGGCGATGACGCCGAAGCACACGCACCCGCGCTCGCCGCGCGTGGTCCCTATCGTGAGAGCGGTGACCTCCACGGCGAAAGTAATTTTTTGACGGAGCTACTGGACTATTCGACTAAGGACTAATGGACAGATTTGACGGGGCTGACTCCCGACCTTCCCTCATGCTCAGCTGGTCATTACTAGCACAGCAAAGTTTCGTCCTGTTGCAAAGTTGTGTCCCGTTTTGCCCTGTTGTCTCCGAGACCGAGACCGCAGCCCGTAAACATATGTGGCGTTTATGATGGCTTGGAGCAACGATGGCGTTTGCGTGCACCGTGCGAACGATGTCCGATCGTGTCTGGCAGGTTCGCTGACATTGCATGACCGTGGCTGTATGAAAATAAACGTATGCCAGACATACGCCGCCTTACGTGTTTGTGCCCATTCCCGCCTCGCATTCCCCGCACTGCAACGTGGGCAGAACGGCGTCCTTCTAGAACAGCACCACATATGACAGTTTCCACGGTGCTGTCTTTAAGGGCTGGTTTCTTGTACGTGATCGCTCTACTAAATGACAGCCTGGAGAAGATAGCTACACCAGACATTCCTAGATCACATCCAGTTCTGACTTGCTGGCCTGTGGAAGCCTTCTATAAAGCTGAAAGCGGCAAGCCAGCTTAGCTTGGTTTCGAAACAGAGGTCGTGAGGACTGTGGACCACCCCGATGAAAGAAGGGCGTCATTTGTAGCGCAGACAATATTCCTACCAGCAAAAAACAAAATCACATTACATAATCCCGGCTTTTGGCATACATTCAGCAGAATGAGACAGCAAAAGTTAGTAGAAATCATCAGTAAGTATAAGCTGCAATTTTGAGGTGAACTTATGCCAAATCAGCTCGTTGCTGATCTACCTAATGTATCACTATATGCCGTTTTCTCCATGGCTGATCTTTTCAATTGCGTACAAAACGAAGTGTAGCTCCACCACGACTTTCACTGCTTTTTGTTTGCTTCCACTGTACCGCTAAGATTTGTATTACCTTGGTGTCCACGGCTAGGAAAATGACCATGAGCTCGGCGGGGGCGAGTCACAGGTAATAAGGCGGACGGACTCGGACCTCTCCGTCTGTAAACGTAGATTTGTACTACCCCGGTGTCCACGGCTGAGAAGCTGATCATGAGCCCGGTGGAGGCGAGTCACGGGTAAGGAGGCGGACGGACACGGAGCTCTCCATCTGTAAACGTCCCTACACTTCGCAAGACCTCAACTCGCTCGCCAAACCGCAAGTCTGTATTTCAAACGCCAGCACCGTCTTCGTCATCCACTTCCGGTACCCACTCCCAACCCAACACGGCGGCGGGTGTGACACGTCACACGTCGGACATCCAGAAGACGTCGCCATTTCTGACGCAGCGGTTGACGTCAGCACGTCACTGAGGACGTCATCAGCACGCCACTCAGGCCAGACGTCATCAGCTACCGCCGCCCAGCGGTCGCCCCCGCCGCCCAACCAGCGCGCGTCGGAAGTCCTCTCCCAGCACTCGCGTACCACTCGGCGTGCGCCCCGCAGCGTCGGCTGCCGCCCGATATCCGACGGAGCTGAGCCACTGTTCGTCGGCGGCAAGCCCATGCTTACACCGCAACTCACGGCGACGACAGGTGAGAAGGCCAAAATGGTCGCCTGTCGACGGACATTTTGTAGTCGCCGCACGCGCCGGCATTATTTATGGGTATGTATAAAAGAGACGTCTCCAACAGTGATTTTTGACATATAGAGCAATGCTGCAATATAGCGCAACGTTCAGCGGTGTCAGCAGCGCAGATTGGAACAAATTTTGTACAAAAAACCGATGTTCGGGTGGCAGAATGACTTCAGAACCCCCACGCAAAAACTGACGAGGCACATAAGGCACCGCGGCCGAAATTCGCTCGGATCGCCTAACGACGTACGGTATCAATTGGGTCCGGACCCGGACGATTCCACTTCGGTCGGTCGGGGGGGGGGGGGGGGGGTCGACGCCGGCGTCTGGCCAATCCGATCATCAGCCGACGCCCCGGGCGAGTCCACCCCGGCTGTACACCTTACTTCACTCGACCCTCCTTCCCTCTCGCCTCCACCCTCCGCCGACTCTGATCCCTCGTCACCCTGACCTCTGACCTCCACATCACACGCGCGGTCCACCCGCGCCACGTTCCCCTCGTGACCCCCGACCCCGACGGCCGGCGCAGCCTTCTGATCCTCGGCTCGGCGTCACCATGTCTAGATCCACCGCAAGAAAACACCTACTCGCGAACGGATTTAAGTACCGAAGGATCGACAAGCGCAAGATCCTGATCGAGAAACCTCATATTGCAGCAACGAGATGCCAGTTCTTGCGGGAGATGAGGAGGCTGCGTAGAGAAGTTCCCGATAGCAAAATCATTTATACCGACGAGGCATGGTATAATCAGTGCGATATGGAGGACTTGGCGTGGCTCAACGGTAGTCAAATCAACGGACGGAAGAACACCATTGGAAAAGGAAAACGTTTTATCACAGTCCATGCCGGATCTCCAGAAGGATTTATACCGGGCGCACTTCTCCACCCCAGGGCCGATGACAAGAACGCCGACTACCATACGTCGATGAACGCCGACTGCTACGAGAAGTGGTTCACCGAGTGCCTGCTTCCGAACGTGCCAGAGCGCTCTGTGATCATCATAGATAATGCCTCATCTCATTCCCCTTTGTGCCAAAAAGGGCCAATTTCTAGCTGGCGTAAAGCGGAAATCCAGGAGTGGTTGCAGCAGGCCGGTGTGACCATCGACGACGACATGCGGAAGGTGGAGCTGCTGGAGCTAGTCAAGAGGAAGAACCGGAAGAAGGAATATTTTCTGGACAACCTTGCTAGAGATCATGGTCATCGGATCGTTCGCCTGCCGCCGTATCACTGCGACTTGAACCCGATAGAGTTAGCGTGGGCACAGATGAAGCGAGTGATAAGACGGGGGAACTTGACGGGGCGGATGTAGGAGGTGGAACGGCTGGTGGAGGCAGGTTTCGCAGCTGTCTCTCCAGAGGACTGGAGTAAGTGCTGTGAGCACGTCAAAGGGCTGGAGCAGCGGTACTGGACGAATGACGGGCTTCTAGAAGATCTCCCACCGGTTGTCGTAACAACCGATGATAGCAGCGACTCCGGCACCGACTCCGGCAGCGACAACGATGAATGAGAACAGTATGACACATCGTTCATGAGAAGTGTTTCCGTTTCGTTCTTTTCAACTGACTTCGTAGCGTTTACGTGGATGTGGCATGTAGTTGCGTGTGGGGTGTTTGAGCTGGATGTATTGTACATATATCTGC